AAGTTTTAAGATCATACAAGATCATGTGATGCATTAGTTCTTAATTCCTTACTTATCATCAAAAACTAGGGCAGTGGAAGTTTCACGGGAAGCACATTAAATTCTTTCCATAGAACAAACACAAAAACGAGACGATAACGCATAACACTTCCATATAAGCATAAAGCAGTACAAATCACAATGACAAAACTATACATGATAGTTAATTATGTTTAATTAATCGACACACATATATGCAACCAACCAGATTCAATCCGCTACAAAAGCAGAAGTCTAAAACTTCTACCATCACTGTTATCATCTCAATATTTAGTTTAGCCCATGCTAGCTAAGTAATAAACATAAAATCGCACAAATTCTAATAAAAAAATAATGGTTAGTTCTTAAGATTTAACGGCTCCACCTAATATTTAAAGCGAGCTAAATTCGGAACAAATTTTCTATATGTCCAATTGCACTTACCATCTAGCCTTATCACAAAGACCTCTAAACCCAAGCATTTTCACTGGAATTCCCGCGGTATCAATTCGTAAATGTCAACCCAACAGTGCTCATAAAACCACACACACGCCTCATTTATTAGAGGGAAGCACAACTACATATTGCTCGCAGACCTGCATTTCTCGAACCTCTTTCCCCTTCCGATCCCGTCCTCAAGGCGCTCCGATTTCCCCACCCTCTTCTCCACTTTTCTGTCCGAAATCCAAGCATGTCCTGAACCGTCACCTCCTTTCACAATCTCTTCTTCCTCGTCCCTCTTCTCCTCTAGCACCATCTCCCGCGAACTGGAACCACTCTCTGCAATCAAATTATCGTTCTTATCCTTCAGAACCTGCAACAACGCCGTAACATTCGCAATAGCATCGGAGACCGAAGACGAGGAAGAAGAAGAAGAAGACACATCAGAGGCCAAAATCCGGCGTTCTAGGGATTGAATTTGAAGCCTAAGGTCAGAAATCTCGCGGAGAAGAGAGTCGCGTTCGCGAGCCCACGTTGCTCCTCGCGAAGCCATCTCTGCTCTTCACGAAGCCAACGCTGCTCTTCGCGAAGCCATCGATCCTCTTCGCGATCGGCAGAGCAGCGGCAGGTGAGGGATCTGAAGAAACATGAAGTGAGAAGGAAGGTCTGATAAATGGAGAAAGAGCCGATTGATTGCGGAGAAAAGTCACTTGTGAGGCACGGTTGGACTAAGAGCAAGTGTGGGAGACGAAGACATTTTGAGAGAGAGAGAGAGAGAGAGAGAGGGCGTTATTTTGGGAGGCAGCAAAACAGCTGAAGTAGGATTTTGGAGCTGAGATATTTGGATGGATGAAGACGGGAAGATTTTCCTTTCTTACAGTTATCTCCGGGCCTGTTTTTAGCGCCAGTCGTTTTGATGCCTCCAGGTGGCGGGAAGCCAGCATTTCGTTTTCCGGGGGAAAATCAATGTCCTTATTTTCATAATTTAGTTATTTAGGTCCTATTTCATTCGTTTGACATTTTAACTCTTTGCACGGGCCTTTAACACATGCAAAGTCATAACTCAAACGAGTCACGCCGAGTTAGCTTGTTCCCTGATAGCTCTTTATTTGGGTTTGGCAACTGTTGGGCCTGTTCAGATTTTTTTACTATTTTTTGCATGGAAGGTAATTCTATTCAAAATATTTTTGAGTATTAAATATATGTATTTTTTTAACAAAAATTTAAATATTAATTTATTATGTTTTAAAAAACTAGTTATTTTTACTAAATCCAACCCCACGAGTACGCTTAAATTTAATAACACATTGCAGTCCATCAAGGCCCAACTCGAGCAGGTCATACTGGGCATTTGGCGTGATCAGGAATCAAATCAAGCTGCTTAATTACCCCCCCCCAAAAAAAAAATCCGCTGATCTCTTGGATAATTCTGGGGAAAAAGTTCTGCTTCGCCATCTGTCCGTAGTTACCGGCTTATATTGCATATATGCATATTTAATTGTTGTGGCACATGAGTTTTTTTTGTTGGAATAAGTAAGGCAATTGTGAGCTTGTAGAACAGATTAAAACCACATTACAAAACCTCAGATATAGACACCCCTGTGACTATTCACCAAGTCTTATTGCATTTGAACACAAAAACTTGGAGGATGTTGAGTCAGGTTCACCTCCATAGACACTAGACGAGCATTCCTTGCCAAGTAGTCCGCACAGAGTAGCGCCTCCCTGGAAGAATGAAACATTTCCAGGTCCCAGTTTGAGAAAATGATGGACCGTGTCTCATAGATCTCTTCTCGAAGTGGATGTGAAGTTCCACCCCCATGTTGTACTGGATATAGCACGTCTCGCGAGTCAGTGAACAGTTTGATCTGAGTTCCGACAGGGAGGCAGCATTTATCGGGTAGCGAAGTTAGTATCTTTCCAGCCTCCGGGCATGTCTCGCTTTGATTATTCATGTGTTAGTTAAGTTGCCTCTACGGCAGGGTACTAGAATTACTCAGTGCTTCAAAATTAAGAATATCTAATATTCATCCGATGTTTAATATAAGACTTATTTAACTAATTTGATTAGATTAAAAAAATTAGGTAAATTAGTTAATTATAAGAAATGTGACATGTTTTTCCTAAAATACCATAATCATCTTTCTTAATACCCATCTTCCTCTTCTACTTGATCATGGTTGAAGGAGTATCTATAAGGGTAATTTAAAGAAAATTGATAAATATGATAAATGGGTCTTATATTTAGGATCAAAACCAACTCAATAATTAGATCTTATATTAAGAACCGGAAGACTATTACTAATACTTTATAACTCCACGTAACTCGGTTCTTTTATTGCATCCTCTGTAAATGTGGGTCAAGCGAGACCGTTAGGAAAGGGAATTGTCAACTCGCTCTCGCATAAGAATTGCGGTAAATCTGTTATTTTATAGGTGGGGTTAATTTTTTTAACTTTTTTTCCATCTCTCTCTCTTTTATTTTAAAGGTGTTTCTCCGTTTTTTAATTTACAACCCAATTAAAAAATTGATATTAGTCATATATGTAAGAATTATTTTACATGTTTATTAATTTGTTTCCAGGTTAATTTTATTGATATTTTCCAAACAATAATTAAGTAGGATAGAGAGGAAAGAAATTAAGAAAGATGTTTAGTATATAATCTAATAAGCCGCAAATTGTCCCTTTTCTTTCAAAAAAAAAACCCCCGATATTATTGAATTCCATCTAAGTAACACAGGCTACATCAAGAAGGACCACGAGAGGGCCGCCGCAAATATTTATTACCTTTTCAGCAAAAATTTATTGTAACATAAAGCCCTAATCTATGATCGGGCCCAAAAAAAAACCGTATCTATGAGACTATCAAGCTATAATAGGACACTACCATGATTCTAACGTCTTGCGTGCTTCCCATTCTCAGCTCCGAGCAAGCTCCGGTCAGAGAAGGAGGGAGTAATCCATGGCTTTCTCCTTTAGAAAACCTGTCCTCACGCTCATCTCTTTTCTTGCCCTATTCTCTCTCCATCTCCGAGCAGTGTCCTCTGCTTCGACCACCCCGTCTTCTCCGATCATCACCACTGAACACCCACTCGACCCTCTCACTAAAGACGAGATTGCACTGATCAGAACCATCGTCCTCAAAAAACACCCCTCCGACGCTACATTCCACTATGTCGGCCTCGACGACCCCGACAAGACCACCTTACTTAAATGGGCTTCATCGCCTAACAAAAACCTCGTACACATCCCTCGCCTCGCCTTTGTCATCGCCATCGTGAAGTCCCAAATCCACGAGATCCTTGTCAACCTCAAAACCCGAGAAATCCTCTCCGATAATGTTCATACCAGTAACGGCTTCCCCACCCTCACCTCCGACGAACAAAATGAGGCCATTTTACTTCCCTTGAAGTACGGTCCCTTCATTGAGTCGGTTAAAAAGAGAGGGCTCAACTTGTCGGACGTTGTGTGCGCGGCTTTTACTGTTGGCTGGTATGGGGAGACCAAGAGCATTCGTTCTTTGAGAATTGAGTGCTTTATGATGGGCGAGACGGCCAATATATATGTGAGGCCAATCAATGGAATCCTTATACTGGTAGATATTGACAAGATGAAGATTATTCAGTACCGGGATAGATCTGTGGAACCTGTGCCTAAGGCCGAGGATACTGAGTATAGAATTGAGCATCAACAGCCACCTTTTGGTCCTAAGCTTCACGGAATGGCCATGATTCAACCAGAGGGGCCAGGATTTAAGATCCAAGGCCATAGCGTCAGGTATATATCATAACACTGATCTCACTTTTGATGAGTTTAAAAGCTGACAAAGTGAACAAGTTTTAACATGTGGTGCTTGCGAGCTGATGTGTCTCGAATCTAGATTGACCGATGAAATTACTATACTTTTCGTTCTCATCAGCTCATTCTGCAATAAGCTGTTTAGATGTCATGCCGCGTTAATTAATTAAAGGCTCGGCGTCGATGACGATACATTGTCCCTTAAATGGTTCACGAGGATGACGAATGAACTTTGGCGAACATTATCTACTATGATTTTAAGGACATTTAAATTATTCAGTATATATGCACATCTTTATATTTTTAACAAAGTTTACTGCTTTAGTCTTTTGTGTGCGTGTGACATTATATAATTACTACCATGGGTCTAAATATAAAATGCAGATCTTATATTAAGAATTAGATATATTGTTGAAAAAAAAAACTAGAGATACTATATAACATTAATTTTTCATGCTTCCCTTGTATTTGAAATCTGAGTTTTGAAATAGTAAGAGGAAACATAAATTAATACAATGGCAAAGTTTAGTATAATGAATGAAAGTGTTATTGAAACCATGTGTTTCCATTGAACGTAGGGCGATTTTAATAATATTGTTAATTTTTAAAATTTTTTAACACGTGAATTAATTAAAAGTAAAGAATGACTTGTATTTAGAATTGAAGCATGTAAGTTTATTTATATCATATCTTTGTGTACTATGTATATATTAAGAATATAATTTATAAATCTCAGCTCCATAATATTTTTAAAGCATTATGGGGCATATGGGCATACTTTCGTTCTAAAATAAATTGAGTATCCTTTTTTTTCCCCCCAAAAATATGAGACAGTCCTGATGTTACTTCTCTACTTGTAGATTTTGCATACACAATATATAGATCTATAGCCTTTTTTAATTTTTTTGGTCAGCCGATATATAAAGATTATTTTACTTCAAAAACAAAAGGCCCGTACTGGAGTCCTGCGGTGTTCACTGGATACTGTTTGCTTGTTCTAATTTTTAATATAAAAGTTAGTTTGATTTTTATTTTAATTATAAATGTAAAATTTTAATTTATTTTCTCTTTCATATTTATCTATTTTTTCTAAACTAGTCTTTATAATAGTAGTTTTAATAAATGTATTTAATTAGTAAGGATAATTTAAAAAAAACAACACCTATTTATTATAAATAACTAATTTAATTAATTTTTTTTAATATATTTAAATTAGTCAACTAGTTTTTACATTAAAAGCGAAAAATACTAACATAAAGAAATAGACTGTAGGAGCGGGAAACAGCTGTGATTTGACTAAACAAAAATGTGCGTGCGTGGGGCTATAAGAATTAGGAAGAAGTACCGAAGAACGGTGAAAAAGGACCAAATCAGCATAATGTTTACGGACAAGAATCAAATTCTAAATCTGTAAGTTTTCTTCGGAAAAATACTACGACTTTTCTTTCATGCTATGCAAGTTTAGTCGTTTTTTCCCCCAACATTGTGCTGATTTGATTTTGAGATCTTTTCACAGTTTTCTAATAATTAATTAATAGTGATTAATGAATTACAGCATTTTGTTTTAAAAAAATGAAGTTATAGTACCATATTCTGGGGCTATTGCATTTATTTCATTTGAATAATCGAAGCATGTTCGCAGCTGGGCCAATTGGAAGTTCCACGTGGGGTACGATGTGAGAGCAGGAGTAGTAATATCGATGGCATCAATCTACGATCTGGACAAGCACAAGTCTCGAAGGGTGCTTTACAGAGGCTTTATCTCGGAGCTGTTCGTGCCGTACCAGGATCCCTCCGATGAATGGTACTATAGGACAGTTTTGGACGCCGGCGAGTACGGGTTCGGACAGTCCATGGTGTCGTTGGAACCGAACCGAGACTGTCCCCCTCTTGCTCAGTTCATGGATGTTTACCTTCATGACCGTGAGGGCAAACCCGTGCTCCTCGAAAACGCCTTCTGTATCTTTGAACAGCACGGCGGGATCTCGTGGCGTCACACTGAGAGTGGCATTCCCAATCAAAGAGTGAGTTTTCTTGGTTTGTTTTGTTTTTTTTCCCCTTAAACAAATTAAAAAATTATCCCGTCGCCGGCGTGACAAACAAGGGTGGAATCTTGTTATCTGGTCGTCACATGTTTTTGGGATTAAAAATGTGGTAACTCAATTTGTGGAGGTTGTTACGTAAATGTTGATAGATTCGAGAGGTCAGATCAGATGTGAGATCGGTGGTGAGATCGGTGGTGACTGTGGGCAACTACGACAATGTTATCGATTGGGATTTCAAGCCCAGCGGTTCCCTCAAGCTAGGGGTAACTCTCTCTCTCTCTCTCTCAATTTCACGTGTAAAAGAAGAATGAGACGTCATTCACTACTTTCATAGGAAACACCGAAATAACCATAAGAATCACACGCCAAAGCCGATCGCATGTCAAACATTATTTACTTAACAAAGCTGTTTTTCTCCAAACCCACACAGAGTTTGGTAATTTAATCCAACAAATTTTTAAACAAATTACGGTTCATTAAAATATATATATTAAATTTTGAATAAGAATTTGCGTTAAAATGTTCTTTACTAAGGTTTTTAACTATTTTCAAAATTTATGCTGATGAACATTTTTAGAAGGTTATTACTGTTATATATCATAAAAATGTTCATTTATAAAAAAAAAAATATTACAATTATAACCTAAAATTAGACCGTAGTTTCATTGTGAAATCAATAACTTTGATTCTGAAAATTAATTATCATGTTTACAGTTTTCCAGCCTGAACTTTTCAAGGTCTGAATGTTTGTTAACATATATGTAATGTTTCTTCTGTTCACTAGATAGCACTCTCTGGAATCCTGGAAATTAAGGCAGTTGATATTAAGCACAAGGACGAAATGAAGGAAGAAGAACATGGAACATTGGTGTCGGAGAATAGTATTGGAGTATACCACGACCACTTCTACATCTACCACCTCGACCTCGACATTGACGGTGAAGAAAACTCCTTCGTGGAGACAGATTTGAAGACTGTGAAAGTCACAGACGGCAGCTCAAAAAGGAAGAGCTACTGGATCGCTGAGGCTCAAACACTGAAGAATGAATCTGCAGCTAAGATCAGGCTGGGGAGTAGCCCGTCGGAGCTAGCCATTGTTAACCCTAACAAGAAGACCTCCGTCGGCAACGAAGTCGGCTACCGCCTCATTCCGGCGATGCCAGTTCATCCCCTTTTGATTGAAGACGATTACCCACAAATGCGAGGAGCTTTTACAAACTATAATGTGTGGGTTACTCCATATAACAGGAGCGAGAAGTGGGCTGGGGGACTGTACGTTGATCAGAGCCGTGGAGAAGATACCCTGGCCGTTTGGACTAGAAAGTAAGAATTTTTTCCCCCTTCTTTTTTTTCACTTTCATCGATCCATAGACACAGCTTAAAAAATCACGTGGTGTATAAAATTGAGAAAGAAATATACTACCTCCGCTCCTAATTATCAGAGTCAATTAACTAATTTAGAAAGATTAAGTAAGTAAGTTGAATTAGTTATTTGTCCTAAATAGGTATTATGTTCTTAAACTATTCTTACTAATCAAGTGTATTGACTAGAACTTTATTGTTAAAAGGGCTACTTTAAAAAAAATATATAAATATGAGAGACAAAATAGATTAAGGTCTTATATTAAGACCAAAATAAAAATCAAATAGGATTTTATATTAAATATCAAATGTAGTAAGGTACTCAATATGGATGCAATTAATATTGCAGGGACAGGAATATTGAGAACAAGGACATTGTTCTGTGGCACGTGGTGGGGATTCATCACGTGCCAGCACAGGAGGATTTCCCAATAATGCCATTGTTGAGCACTTCGTTTGAACTGAGGCCAACCAACTTCTTCGAGAGGAATGCCGTTCTGAAGACACCCTCTCCCAAGTCTTGGAAATGGCCAGCCTGCCCCAAGCAAAACTAGCTTGCTGGGCGTCGTTATGCACACCATTATCAATCTGATGGGGGGCAAAAACGAGAGAGTATGCGATTTGATAAATATTTATAATTGGCGTGCAATGTCACTAGGCGAGTTGAAGATTGAGAGATTAAATAAGGGCGAGCAATTTAATTATGGGCGCGTATATGAATCCCAGGTTTTATATATGAACGTCGAGAATTTCAAGTGTGAATCCTTCTCAATCTTAATTTATATTTTCTTACCATAATCTGAGATGTTTGTGCGAATGATATTCTGAGAGGTAACTAATGGTGGTTTCAAAAAATGCGCACAATTTAGGGCTGTTACTCGCAAATTTCTTTTGCTATATAGTACTCTCTCGGGTTTTAAATATAAGAACTAGTTGATTAATTTGAAAAGATTAACAAAATAAGTTAAATTAGTTATTTATAGTAAATATATACTGTCTTTCTTAAAATATCCTTGCTAATCAAGTATATTGATTATAACTACCATTATTAGAAGGACTATTTTAAAAAAAATACATAAATATAAGAGACAAAATAGATTAGGATTATTATATTTAGGACTAAAGTAAATCAAATGAGGTTTTATATTAAGGACTGAAGGTAATAATTAGGCAGACGAGATAAATGATTAATTTATATGTTACTGGTCATTTAAAATGTATTTTTTTAAAATTATTTTTCTTCATTGATCGAAATCCCTTTTACTATGTATAAATATAATCAATAACAATGAAGTGAGAAAAGTTATAAATTTATGTTGCAAAATGAATTAAGATTCTATGTTTAGAATTAAATTAAATTAATTTTTTAAACTAATTTCTATTTTTAGGATTGGAAGAAATACATTTTACTTCAGGATTTTAAATTTATAATAATAAAAAGTCAGACGATGAACCTCACATGCTTTTTGGCCAAAAGATAATACTCTTCCGGTTCTTAATATAGGACCTAATTCTTGAGTTGGTTTTGGTCCTAAATATAAGACCCATTTCTCATATTTATTAATTTTCTTTAAATTACCCTTATAGATACTCCTTCAACTATAATCAAGTAGAAGAAAGAGAGGGGGTATTAAGAAAGATGATTATGGTATTTTAGGAAAACTGTGTCACTTTTCTTATAATTAACTAACTTACCTAACTTTCTTAATATAATCAAATTAATTAAATGGGTTTTATATTAAGGATCGGAGGAGTAGCTCGTGGCTTAAATTTTATTTTATCAAAATTATACAATACTACATTTAGACAAAAAAAATGATGCGCAAAGATGCATCCAACTTTATCATTTTTATATTTATTATTTCTGTGGTTTCGTAGACACTATGTATAGTCATTTTTGCCGTTACAGATAACTGAGATGGTATATGGGTTTAAGTGGGGGAAGGCATGGAGGGCGCTGAGTGAGGAAGAGAAAGATAGGTATAATGAGAGGGCAGGGAAAATAAAGCCAAAGAAAGGTGAGAAGAAGAAGTATGATGTTCCCTTGTACACCGGTGCTCATTGCCTGGATTTCTATCATTGGCTGAGTATGTGAAGAAGAACAGGCGGTTAAGGCAGAAAGTTCAGAGGATGGGATTTGGGAACTTGCTTAATGTGAATGTGAAGCAACTTCCACATGATCTATTTGTGTCATTGTTGAGATGTTATGCCCTACCAACGCATTTTTTGACCATTAGGGGGCAAGGGCAGGAAATTGAAACAAAATATGCTCATGAGTTTCTAGGTGCACTTGACAGTGGGGAGAAAGTGAAATATGATATTAGTGAAGATGACCCGACATACAAGAGGTTAAATGACACTTATTGAAAGGTTTCATTTACCTAGATACTGAAGAGGATATTATTTGGGAAAGAAAGTGATAATTTTGAGTTCCTATTTATGCTTTATACAGTTGGAGCTTTTTTATGTCCTGGGTCAAACACAACTGTACATATAAGTTTGTTGAAAGTGATGCGTTACACGATGGATGTAAAACCCTTAACTTTAAACATTAATACTCTTCATAAGATCACTACTATGGTAGAAAAGGAAAGTTGTTAAAACGAGCTACCATAGTAGAAGGAAAATTTCATATTTTTAGAAATTGACTTTCAAACTCGGGTCAACCCGTAAGAAGTTGCATGCAACTAAAATAATCCATTCATATCCACTGGGCCTCCGAGCCTCCGGCCCGAGTAACACACACATCAAAATCAGCCCATCCAAATCGTTTTCAACCATATAACAAAGTTCCATAAAACAATAGCAATGGCCTCCGGCCAACTAAAATAAGAAGATAATGCATCCTCCAATTTACAATAGATCAACAATCAAAATATCACAAAAGACCCTAACTGTGGCAATATACAACCGATCATACATAAATAAAGGCTAGAGACCTAGAGCCAACCAAGCTCAAGCCTCTGCGTCTCTTCCCGAAGGCACACGCCTAGAACCTTCACCTGAAAACATTGTAAACCACGGGGTGAGACTAAGTCCCAGTAACCAACCTTTCCAATACTAGGTACTACTAAATAGGTGCTCGTGAGGTGTCAAGTGGGGCAGTTCACAAACAATATAAAACGATAGCCACAACAATTCATGTAAGTGCAATGATACAATCCCATCAACCAAATCCCTCACTTTGGGAGATTTTCAGGAGCCAAAGCCGGCCTATCCCTCACTATGGGGGACGTAAGGAGCCCTAAAAGGCCTATCCCTCACTCTGGGGGACGTAAGGAGCCAAAAGGCCTATCCCTCACTATGGGGGACGTACTAAGCCAACCATCATGCATTAATGGAGGCCTTACCACGTGGTAGTAACAGACAAGACTCTCATCAATTCCCAATTAATGCATCATGCTCAAATCATAAGCAAAGAGTAACAATCATTTTACAATTAACCTCATTCAGTGGCATATCTTTCACAATTCCAAGATTCATTCATCATAAATCAAAACCCCACAAGACGGTTTTCCCTTTTTATATACAACATATATAGTTTGAATACAATTACTATTTGGAGCACAAAACACAAATCTACTCACAATACCACAGAAGCAAGTACTAAGGATTGGAAAGTGGTTACCTCTCGCCTGAGCAAGGAATAACAAATCAACGATGTGGCCCCGTGCACCACCAAGACTCACAACCGGTCTACACAAGCACACAAACACACAACCATCATATATTAGCTTTCAAACTAATAATGTGGCCAAAAACAACACTTGGGGACACAAAATTCCCATCTCCTATCAAAACTCTACCCAACTCAAAGGGTATAACTATCAAAACAACACTCCAAAGTCCTCAAAGTCTATTAAAACATCAAGTCTCCTTCCAAGCATCAATTAGAAATCAAACCTCAAGGACCCACTATAGGAATTCAACCTCCAACATCTCATTTGAGCAATTAAGGTTCCAACAACAAATCTAAACCGATTAAACATCCAATTTAACCCTCCTTAACATAACCAAATTCACAAAACTCAAAATCAATCTCTATATTATCATCCTCAATCCCAAATCATCCATTTCCACAAACCCTAGCTCCAAAAACTCAAGATTTTTTAAATCCAAGAAAACTACACCGATTAAATACTTAAACTAACCCAATGCAATCAATTAAACTCAAAACAATCGGTCAAAAACCTCAGTTTCATCACAACTTAGAAAATCCTAGGGTTCCACCAAAAATCCTCAGAAATTCCAATCAAGAAGATAGATTAGAGGTTAAAATCACTTACTTGAGGTAATGGATCCTTAGAAATGTCTCCTCCAAGCCAAAAGTTCGAAACCCTAGCAGAGCTCCTCTCTCCTCCTTCAGATTTTTCTTATTTTCGCACGCTGAACCCTCCCGCGACTATATAGATTCGCGACCTTTCGCCGCGGCGAACTAATCCCGAGAGGGATTACTCGCCTGAAAACCTGACTTTGCCGCGGCGAACTCCCATCTTCGCCGCGGCGAAAGCTTCCCGAGAGGAAACTCTTGCTCGCCCAGAAGAACTTCGCCGCGGCGAAACCTTCCCGAAAGGGAAGCCTCGCTCACCTGAACAACTTCGTCGCGGCGTCCCCTAGACTTCGCCGCGGCCACACCTTCTCGAGAAGACACTCCCTTCTGAAACTCCCGGTGCGCCGCGGCGAACATACCCTGAGAGGGGTACGTTCACCTATTCCTCCAACAAACCTCAAATTCAACCCAAACACCCAGATCAAGATTAAATCACTAATCTATCCTCAAAATCAACCCAAAAGGCTATTAAAACCCGATAAAAACTTAGGATGTTACAATGGATGGTTTGGGAAATATGATTGGTCAACATACATAATCAAGAACTTGTGGAAGGAAATGGGAGACTTTGTGAAGATGACAAAGAAGAAGAAGAAAGGAACCTGCAAAGTTGGAGGGTGTCTTTATTGCTGTTGGTAATTCAATATTTTGACTAGTCACTATATTTTTGTTTTATGTTATTATTGCAGAAGTGTGACCTATCTTTGTTTGGTTTTGCAGCTGTATTTTGCTGAGCGTTTCCTGCTAGGATTGTCTGTTGACCAGGGTTCAACAAGCCCCGTTGAATATTGGACTGAGGAGAAGATAAAGGAGAGGATGGAGAAAGAGAGAGGTAGTAGCATGGGAATATTGCATGGAAGCAGTGGCAGTAAGGTTTACTCAGCAGGACATGAGGACAGTCCAATTTTGCAGTCTTTAGATCCAGTATGTGGGAATTTAGAAAATATACGTGACCTGAGTTTAAGTAAGTATATTAGCAAGGTTGATATTTGAGATGACAAGACTTTATTTACAAATGACCAGTGAGATACTGGCATTCGATAACAGTAATCAATTTTTTTGATATCTTCATTTACTGTGTATGCAGGTGTTGAAGGAGTTGAGGGCTCGTTTTGTTAAGAAGCTTGAAGAAAGCCAGAGGACGTTAATGAAGGCTCTTGATGATGAGCTACTCAAAGTGTAGACTGGATTGAATGTCAAAGTTAAGGGGATGGGGAATGAGAATGCC